GAAAGGACGGCTGATAGTTATTCCGAAAGGTAATGATAGGCCACTAACAGATCCCAAGGCCTACCGTCCGATTACGCTCCTCCCCATCTTTGGGAAGTTGCTGGAGCGAGTTCTGCTGCGGTGTGCTCCGAGCTTGGTGAGGGGCATATCCGAATACCAGCACGGGTTTTCGCCGGGTCGGTCCACGGTAACGGCGCTGCAAGACGTGCTTAGTACTGCGCGCGAGTCGCAGCGCAAGTATGTACAAGCCGTCTTCTTGGACATATCAGGAGCATTTGATAATGCATGGTGGCCAATGATACTGCTGAAGGCTAAACAAGGAGGGATCCCACCTAACATCTACCGCATGTTGGTGGACTATTTCACCAATAGGCGAGTGGGTATATTCGTGGGTGACTGTGCCGAATGGAAACGCTCGACCATGGGTTGCCCGCAGGGATCAGTCCTTGGACCGACCTTGTGGAATTTACTGCTGGACGATCTGTTGAGGCTGCCGTTCCCCTTAGGGACGAAAATGTTGGCGTATGCAGACGATGTGACTCTATTGATAGAGGCGAACTCTAGAGCTGAAATAGAGAGAGCGGCCAAATCTGCACTGGAGTTGGTATCATCGTGGGGAGAGAGGAACCGGTTATCCTTCTCCTCCACGAAGTCATGTACCATGACTATTAAAGGCAAGTTCCAGCGACCACCTGTTATAAGGATGGGCACTGAGTCAGTTAAAAGCGTAACGTCGACTAAAGTATTGGGTGTCACGTTAGACACTAGTCTATTCTTTATTCAGCACGCCAAAGATATGGGAGAGAGGGCTGGGAGATGCTTTGGGAAGATGTCGCGGGTGTCGGCATCTTCTTGGGGCATGCGCTATCCCGCCCTCCGTGTTCTATATAAGGGTACATATGTTCCAATAGTGACATATGCTGCGGCCGTTTGGGTTGATCGGGTGGGGAATTATACAGTGCGAACGGCACTGCTGAGATCTCAGAGATCTTCGCTCGTGCTGTTGACAAAGGGGTACAGGACGATAAGTACTGCGGCGCTCCCGGTATTAGCCGGCGTCCTGCCGGCCGATCTGGAGGTAACTCGTGTTGGTAGGATTGACCAGGCGCGTAGAAACGTTGAGAATGGGGAGTTGAGCAGGCGTAAGCGCGAAATTTGGGTTGAAGTTATGGAGGTATGGCAGGAACGATGGATCAACGAGACGAATGGAAGAGAATTATTCTGCTTCTTTCCGGACGTGTCGGCGCGGCTCAATGCGAATTGGGTCGTGCCGGACTATCAAGTCTCGCAGATACTCAGTGGGCATGGATGTTTTCGAAAGAGACTGCATGATATGAAATTGGTTGAATCTGGTATGTGTGATTGCGGTGCTGCCTATGAGGATAGGCATCACGTGCTATGGGAGTGCGAGTTGTATGATGACCTGAGATGTAAGATGATGGACGGAATAGTACGCAGAGGGGTGGGTCCGGTTTACTACCCGGACCTCGTGGACGGTAAGGAGAACTTTGGCCGGCTGCGGGAGTTCGCGCACGGTTGGCATGTAAGAAGAACAGCCATGGAGAGGCAAAGGAGCGTTCTGCCCGGAACCGAAGGCGTGGTGTGTTCGTCCAGCCCAGAAGGGGAGAGTGGCATACAAGGGACAGGATCGGATTAAATAACTTGTAGAGAGTCAAGAAAGTGCACGCGGGAAAGAGCCCAGAGCAAGTACCGCGTGCATCTCTCGAGATTCGGCCCGTATAACCGTGAGGTTGGTGGGGCCATGGGAGGTGGAGGGTCCGACACGATCGGTGAGAGATCGGGCGCATGACCAACAGTGGTTTACACTAGGGTGAAACAGAAGCCAATTTCCTGACTCCGGATTACTACTGATTATACTTTCACAACGGATTACTAAACTGAAGTAGTAATGGGCCGGTCGCATAGCTTGAAGAACCGACAACCGATGGGGGGAAAGTTCTCGCGTGGCAGCCTCGTACCGGCATGGGGAAGTGTGGCGTCCCCACCCCCTAGATGTGACGACCTGGTAAGACATGCTGGAAGTCGATGGATACAGGTGTCTCAGGATCTGTGCTTTATGGTATTTCTTGGGGGAGGTCTACGTTCAGCATTGGACTTGTGAAAAGCTGTAATGATGATGATGATATCTTCACAGAAACACCCAATAACTGATTTTGGCCCGAGCCTGGATTCGAACTCGTTATCTCATGATCAGCAGTCACACTTACTCGACCACTATACCAACAAGGCAGTCACACCCAACCCGACACACCGTTGTTTTAGAATAGTAAGTTTATAAATACTACTAACGAATTCGAAAGCAGAAATTCACTCTTACAATTCACGTAATTAGAGCGTGGCGCTCTGCATTATCGGCCGGAATGAATCAGTGTACGGTCCATTAAACTCTACTTTATAAAAGACAAAAACATTTCGTAATGCTCCGTGGGTTTCAACTTTAGAAACATTAGCTGTGGATAGCACATTGAGATTAATAAAAAGGTAATGAAATGATGAAATCGGACCTTCAAATCAGAAAAAAGTTGTTGAGTCAAAAATAACGTTATAGTAACTACTTTTGTAACAACAAGGATAAAATTAATCAACAATCACCAGTTATAGACCACAATTTGATCAGCAGACACATTAGATTTATTTAACAGATTGTTATAGAATAATCTTTACAAATCTCTTATCCGTTGCCTATAATACTCCATATGCTTCTCTCTGGAGGCTTAACTACTTCTTACCCATTTCCACGAAACTACACTTGCCCAATCTTTATAACTCCCAATCCTCGAATATGCTAACATTGGTTACATTGATATCACCGAGGAAACGTCTCCAAAATCTCTGTGCACGGTTCGTATATGAACTTCGTAATTATAACCATGTTTCAAAATACCGCACTAAACTCAAGTGGCTCCCAATCCATCTTCGTCGAAATATTCATATTCTTTCCGCTCTCTACTGCATCTTATTTAATATATGAAAACATATTTTAAATATCTCAGCTCCTATCAATTTTTTTCCCATATTGTTCAAGTAAAACTTGTTATGTTTTCCCTAATTTTCTATTTTTTGTTATAATCATCTTTCCTTAATGCCTATTAAAGAGTATTGTATTGTATTGTAATAGTTTTTAAATTAAGTTTTTCTTTTAGTGGAATCCATTTCATTGTTAACTATGTGGAAGAAACGCGAGTCGCTAACTCGCGTTTCTTCCACATACGAGTAGGTGCCATTTACTCTTAAAGTGTTATAATTGTATGATTTCATCTGGTCTAAAATCACAGTATAGCGGTAGACAGGCCGCGGATATGTTCCATATAGAGATCCCGCAACTCCTTTTTGACGTTGAGAACGACCACCCTGGGGTCTTAGTCAATAGGAGTCCAATATACGAGTATCCTGCCTACTACCTAAAAAACGGCAATCTAGATGAAGCGACAACCTGATTTGGCGTACTGGTATTTAATCAAGCCGGTGGGTCAAATGTCGCTTTTTGTAATAATTTTTAGGGAAAATGGTAGACTGCAGTAATGATAATACACTTCATTACTAAAAGCTGCTGAGTACATACTTCTTTTTAGTTCCGAGAGCCTTAGTCCACCCCGCTGGTCATATGCGTTTTGGAGAACTTCACATGTCCTCGAATTATATCTCAGCACAAAAGTTTTCTGAGCACGTGGTCCTCATCATCATCATCATCAATGCCCTTCGATGTTTTCGTAATATGTTCATGTATCGATGTGATTCCTTAAGCCGGTGGGGAAGAAGCTAAGTGTAGAACAGCCCCCCAGTAGAGAAAGTGACAACCTGGTTAGATATACAGGAAATCGGTGGATGGAGGTGGCTCAAGACCGTTCTTTATGGCATTCCTTGCGGAGGCCTTTGTTCAGCAGATCACGTGGTCCATCAACACTTAAAATTGTCACGTATGCAGTTCGTAATTTAATGCAGAAATTATTGTATGTTAATTTACGGATTGGAAAATTAAATATAAGCAGTAGAGAATATTAAAATCAAGATTATAATCGAAAATGAGAATTGAATGTTTCGAAGTTACCATTTTTATGTGTAAAAAATCCAATTGATCAGTAAAATTGGTTATTGGACAGTGATATTCATTATATAAAACAGTTACGTCTAATTTAAAAGTCCGGAGTTTTGAGTTAGCCCAAGGGCCGTCCCACATACTTACGAGTACTGTCGCTGATATTACTAGTAATAACGTAGTAAATAACATCCTACGTCTATACAAATAAATAAAATTAAAGTGAATGTTTGTAATGGCAAAATAACAACTTTTAACTAAATCTATATACACAGTACTTATAATAAGAAAACAACCCGCGTGGAATTTATTACGATTAAAATTTCATGGGTTTAAATTTTTTGTGGGGAACCCTAATGCTAAATTTCTATACGTGGTAGAGCCACGCTGTAGCTATATTATGGTTGCAGCACTAATGGGTCGGCTCGATCGGGGTAGGACCACGCTCTCACAGAATACCAGCGTAAAATAGCTGCTTAATACTGCTGTGTTTCGTATGGTGAGTATAGAGATCCGGAGACCATTTTTTTACTGAAAACGAGGCGTTCCATCTTAGTCCTCAGGGGTGACAACGCATCTGTGTTTTGATTCTTAAGCGAGGGTAAATGTAGATGTCTATGGGCCACAGCATCCACTTACCGTCAGGTGGACTGTGTGCTCGTTTGTCCCCCTTATTCTACAAAAAATATAGCCTAATTCACTCCTCATAACATCAGCTATCTGCCAGTGCAAGTCCCGTCAAAATCGGTCCAGCTGTTTCAGAGATTAGCCGGAACAAACACACAGACGGGTGAGAATCGAACTTTGGTTCTACGAGTAGCTTTTAGCATTTGAAGTACCTACACTCTCCACTCGGCTCACAACTTTAATACAAACGAATTAATATTCATAAAATAAATAAAATTTTAAAAATTAAATAAATATATTTGAACGCAATGATTACCGTGCATTTTGACCGTTTTGTCTTTCTTTTTCACCTCAAAGAATCCGTTGTAAGTATCTCCCGTGTCGTGACAGAATAAACCTTCATCATGTACTATAGTTACTTCCTTTGCCTGCCTTTTTGTTACCGTGGTGCCTGATTCGGAATTTTCGGTCATTTATATTCTTTAATTTACATGCGTCTCAAAAAACAAATTGTTGATTTTCTAAATCTTGTTCGATGTAAATCTAAAAGAATATCAGAACACCGTTAACAATCCACTGCCGGATCACTGGACATTTTTTATAGTAGAGGGGGCAAACGAGCTTAGGGCTCACCTGATGGTAAGTGATTACCGTCGCCCATGAACATCAATTGCAGATGCGTTACCGACTTTTTAAAAAGGAGTAGGCTCTTTCTTATAGGTCCCTAAGTCGTATCGGTCTGGAAAAATCTCTGGTGGTATTCAATCCCACAAGGAAGTTGTGCGAGAAATAAAACTTCTTTCAAATCGCACGGTGGTGGACCGCCATCCATACTATGGAGGAGGAAGTTTACGCGAAATACATATCCAGATGGTATGAATGTCTGGCATAGGCTTCCTCCTCCATAGTACTTTTTAATTCATTTAACATTAATATGAAGGGTAAAAAAAAGTTACAGCCTATATACGTCCCACTGTTGCGCACAGGCCTCCCCTAATTTCCGAGAGGCTTTTAGGGCAAGGAAGTGTCTGCCGCGCTGCCCCAATGCGTGTTGGCGAACTCCACATGTCTTCGAAATATTTTTTTCTCTTAGTCCTCAGACATGCAGGTTTCCTCACGATGTTTTCCTTCACTGCTGAGGACGTGGTAAATCAGCACTTAAAATTGCAATTAACAATAAAATATGAAGGGTACGGGTGTATTAAGGGTAAGAGTATATTAAGTTTAATCAATAACAGAAATTTAATCGTCGAGTCCTATGAAGCTGTAAGAGCCGCATATGCTAACAGCACCAACATCATCGAAACCAGAACGTTTAATCTTTTATTAGGATGAACTATTGAATGAAATGAACGTTCAGTTCATAGAATGATGAGGGGATGCTACGAGTGGCTCATAGACACCTTCAATTTTATTCTCGATTAAGAATCAAAATGCAACATATGTTGTCACCATAGAATACTATAATACACAATAGAATGACTGTCAACCTTCTTTTGTACAAGGATCGGTGTTGCCGGGAGTACACATACAAGCATTTACGTCGTATTATCACTACTACAAATCCGATTCGCTGTATTGACAGACTTAGTGTTTTTGACACATCAATATTTCTTTATTTTTGTTTCTAATATTTACAAAATATAAATAGTTTCGATATACTAGTTGTAGAATATGTCTCCTTTATTTAAATTCCGTTTCCCGCTGTTTTTTCGACACGTAATTATTGCACAATTTGGCATTTTTTTAAATAATTTGCATGCAGCGACGCTTGACACGAATTGTGTTGACATTTATAGGTGTGAAATGACATGTTAGTGGCTACACGGGCTCCGCCCACTCCCCCGTTCTATTATGTATGTATTATGGTATTCTATGGTTGTCGCCCCGAGGACTTAAATGGCACGCCTCCTAACCAGTATAAAGAATCCCAGTTCTCTTCACACATTATTTTTTTTATAGAATAATGGTGACAAACGAGCATACAGTCCACCAGATGGTTAGTGGATGCTGTATCCCATAGACATCTACATTTATCCTCGCTTAAGAATCAAAATGCAGATACGTTGTCACCCCTGAGGACTAAGATGGAATGCCTCGTTTCCAGTAAAAAAGGGTCTCCGGATCTCTATACTCACCATACGAAACACAGTAGTATTAAGCAGCTATTTTACGCTGGTATCCTGCGAGAGCGTGGTCCTACCCCGGTCGAACCGACCCATTCGTGCTACAACCATAATACGAGTATAGCTGCAGCGTGGCGTTTACCACGTATAAAATACATATTAGGTATACGAAACATAGCAGCATTTTACTGCTATATTTCAGGCGGATATTCTGTGCTAGCGTGGTCCTTTCCCGAACGAGCCGACCTATTCGTACCTCAACTATAATACCCTGCAGCGTATCTCTACCACGTGCTAAAATATAATTATGAAAAATGGATTTAAGCGCGTAGCATTCACAATTAAAGTTCACTAGTACCCGGATGACCGAGCTTTGCTCGGTTTTTTTAAGTTACATTTATATACAAATTACATGAATAATAGTTTTTGAATAGAATAGAAACCCCATACAAACCGCAAAAAAGGTTAAAATATTATAAAAAGTTTTAAAAGGTAGATAGTAAATTGCATATAACAATCAGTATACAAAAAGGAAAATATCACATTATAATAATAGAAATTTACTGAAAGGCGCCCATCTCTCTAAATGAAAGTTATTGAAACCTTTTTGTTGACATTCCTAAAATTAAACTTAGGTATTGAAACGTTATTGTGTGAAAACTTATTACCGTTACAGACCACCAAAGTCCACAGCTGAACATAGGCCTCCCCCATAGATTGCCTCGTAGGGGGATATTTGCTATACTTATAGTACATGAGGGTAATATGGTCATCCGGTTAATATGGTCACTTTCTTATAACTCAAAAACTACGACCTTATTTTTATAGAAGGCTATATGATACGATAACTCTTCATCAGTCAATCAAATAATAAAGAGTCAAAAGGACGCAGCTTTATCGACGCCTTTATAACAGTTGATAATATAGTAAATATTTTAGTCGATTTTAGTATCGCGTAATGTTGTTAGTTTTTATTAAATTGATTTTTGAAGTGTTCCTAATTATTTCCAAAGTTTATTTGCTTTTTTTATTAATACATATACATATAGTTATTATAGTATACGACCTTGTGTTTTGTATCTATCCTCCTCCTACTTTTATAGATATTATATAGGTAAAGTTTAAGATGATCATATTACCCTCATATACCTTAATTGTCACGCCGGCAATACACGTTGGCCAAGCCTCAGCCAACGCGAGCATAGGCAAATTGATACAAGGCGAGTGCTCGCTACAGTCTACACGTTGGTCAAGTTCGAAAGAGACCAATTCCAAGGCCAATGTTCACGAGTTTTTGTGGAGCTATCTATCTACATGTTGGCCGTAATTAGTTGTCATTGAGAATTGGGACGATATGGACGACGTAGAAATTATTGCCGCATCTGTAATTTATTTAATGAGTGCATATAATTATTATATCAGTGTACTCCGTAGTAAAGTATTTAGGGTTCCAAATAACGGGTTCATTTTTGTATATTTCCAAAAACTTAAAAGTGTCCTCGTTAGTACAGTGACATTGTCGAAATTATTTAAACACAGAGTACTTTTTTATACAGGATTTTAAAGTTGCAATTTAATTAAACAATATATCACCGGGACGGACGCCTAACATGGCCGTCAACATGTGGACACGACTTGCCGAGCATAAGCGAGCGCTGTTGATTTGTGCAGAAAAACCGACATCGTTCCGAAGTGATCGAGCCGTGTAGCGAGCGATCCCGAGTGGCGGCAAGGCACGCCAAACGAACCGTATACACGTTGGCGCTCGCCTGCACTCAGCCAGCTAGGTGAGCGTCGACGAGTAATGGCGAGGCTAGACCAATGGGGTCTCTATACGTTGGTACTCGCCTTCGCTCGGCCAACATGTATAGCCGGCATCACGCTTGGCAAGCGGGTTAGCAAACGCAGTATTTTTATTTTTAATAATTATTAAAAGGACGCTACTGCCAATCTCCTGATTTGTTTCTCTCTGTCACCATTACGACTCCCACGGGATGACATGGGGTAGTGGGTATTCTTACACCGCCACTGCACGGAAAACTTATTCAACACGTTTAAACATGAAACTATTCAGCACCGAATTCGTGATGGACTGTACCCAATGATGATAATGATGAACGATTACTATCACATATTTAATAATGACTAACCTATTCAGCTTTTAATAACACACAAAACTTCACTTCGACTAGACTAATTCTTGATAATAGTACATAATGGGTAATATTAATTTAAAACGTGCCGTGTTTTAATTATTTACATATTACGGTTAATTAAAGATAACATAAAACATAAGCTACAGAAGGCCAAAGCATGACAGGTCGTCCATGACATGTTTCATATACTTTTTTGCACGCGGTCTTTATTTTCGGCCAGAGTATAATCATTATAATTACTTGCTTTCGGCCGTGAACTATTTTTTATATACATTTGTAAAGCAGATTGTTCCCAAGTTTGACAAATGGCAAATAATAATGAATTTGTCAGCGGCAAGTTGGAGAAAGTTAAGAACTAACATATCTTTGGTTAAAATTTAACATCATAGAGTAATTAGTATTTTTAAATAGAGAAGTTAACATTAACAAAAACGAAGTCACCAAGTATATTTTAGAAGATATGAAATAATTTAAAATTTATTCTTATTTTTATTAATTTATAATTTAAGCATTCTTCAACATTTTGCCATAATGCGAACTTCTTTTCGACGAAGATAGAGAGAAAATATTTTTTCTGCGTTTAGTAAAAGTTTGGTTTTATAAAATAATAAACCAAGCATTTCCGAAGCTCGTCTGTACACTTCTTTCTGATAACTAAATAGCCACTGCAGTCTTTAAATAAAACCGCTACAAATGTGTTGTTGAGGAATATGATGGCATGCCTCACAGATTTTAATAAAACTATTTCTTTATTCCCATTCATACAAAATACAAAATAATAAAAAAAAATTAAAAGAAACCACGGTACCAATAAATTTAGCCAATGCTAAAATTTGTCTTTTTTGCGATCAGAATCATTCCTCCGCTTTACTTTCGTAGGCTAATGATCACTCTGAATCAGTAAAACCGCTAAGCAGTCAACTAATGCTCTAATGTTTCTAGATCTTAATGGAAGATAAAACATTTAACACTAGTGACGAAAATAGAGACAAAGTAGTAAAAGTAAAGTAAAAATTAAAACAAGCAGATGCGTTGTCACCCCTGAGGACTAAGATGGAATGCCTCGTTTCACGCACGGGCGTAGCCAGGGGGAGGGTTTTGGGGGTTCAACACCCCCCCCCCCCTAAAGTTAAGATATTAACATTAATAATATTAAAATAAAGAGAAGGCTGCGGCATAACTTATTACTAATTATTACACTAATATACCTATATTTCGGATTCGCGAATTCGGGTAATTTAAAATATAGGGAAAACCGGATGATTTCGCACTGGAATGACGACAAAGGCTTTCTTTCTACTAAATATATTTGAATTCATATATTTTAATTTTAAGTTTTAGTTTTATTATTTGTATAATTTAAAATATTGGTTTCTGAGCATTTGGCCACTTCTCAGAAGAATGCCCTTTATACATGCCCTCAGATCCAAAATTTCACCACATTAGTGGTGAAATTATTCAACATAAGATAATCGGTAAAGTAAAGAAAGCTCAATTTTTTGCTATTCTGACTGACGAGACGACCGAGATTTCGCGTATGGAGCAAGTCTCGCTGTGCTTACGATATGTTGATTTAAAAGATGTTAAACACCATAAAATTAAGGAGATGTTCCTCGAGTACATTCCAACTGTTGACGTGACAGGATCCGATCTTGCAAATCTCATAATTACAGCTCTGAAAAAGCATGGACTTGAAAGTTCTCATACGGTTGGTCAATGTTACGATGGGGCTGCAGCAATGAGTGGGTATTTTCACGGTGCCGAGGCATATATTCGTCAAGAATGTACTCTTGCTCTTTATGTACATTGTAGTGCCCACTGAGGCATGGTACGCGTGGGGAAAAGAAAAGATACGTCTTCACCGTACGTGGGTCGTTTATTGAGTCCCAAATACCATCATTTCTTATAAAATCTAAGTTATGCTAAACGCGCTTGCGCAGCAGAGTCACACGGGACTCGCGCATGAAATATAAAACTTCTAGGTAATGCACTACATCTCCCCCGAAAAGTAAGGGGTACCTCACTACCCTCTTTAGGAAAAAAAAATGATTAGTGTACATATAACTTAAGACTAATAACATAATGAATGTATAGGTACTTATCTGAAAAGCAAACATTTTTTTTTTTTGATTACAAAGATAAACATTACAATTGAAATGGCTTTGTGTTATTTTTATGTAAAATAATTTCTTTGTTATTTTTTAGAAATTTTACATTAGGTGGTAATTCTTCCAAAACTTTATAAGGTCCTTCATACAAACAATCTAATTTGTTACCTGTTTGGTTTTTTATTAAGATTAAATCTCCTGGCTTATATTGTACTTTATTACATTTTTGATCATACTTAATTTTTCTTAAATTTTTACTTATTAACAAATTTTTCTTAGCATCCAACTGTGCTTTTTGTAAACGGTACTTTAACTCCTTAGGGTAATCATCGAAATTATACAGTGGGTCAACATGTGTTGATAAATTACTAGGAATATTACAAATTTTGCCGAAAACTAGTTCGTATGGAGTATATTTTGTTTTTGAATGAACGCTTGTATTGTAACAAAAACACCAAAAAGGAACCCATTCGCTCCAATCTGACTTGTTATTATTGCACTGAATTCTGAGGTAAGCGCCTAAATGTTTATGTGTATTTTCAATGCCTCCTAAAGTTTCATGATGATAAGGCGTTGAATGGATTTTTTCTATATGTAGCAATTTGAAAACTTCGGACATAAGTGATGAGGTAAATTCGGTCCCCATGTCACTTAAAATTTTTCTTGGAATTCCATAACGCAAAATAAAATTATTAACGAAAGACCTAGCAACACTTTCACTATCCTTTCTAGGTAAAGGATAAGCCTCTACAAATTTGCTTAAATCACACTGGATTGTTAAAATATACTTATTATTATAGTTATCTATATCTAAAGGGCCCATAATATCTAAATTAACCTGTTCAAACGCTGAGTTAGCAGTTGAAGTGATTGTCAGAGGATCTCTAATATTTCTGTTAGTATGCTTTTGAACTTGACAACTTTTACATTTGCGGACATAGTTCATGACGTCATTGCTCATACCTGGCCAGAAATAATATTTTTTAATATTATTTAACATACGATTCATGCCTGCATGACCACTTGTTGGTAACAGGTGAAAGTCATTAAGTACCGTGGTAATTTCTTCTTTATTATTTATTCGCTTAATGTCTTTAATAATCAAAAATCGTGGTGACGCTATTTTATACATTTTTATGCTGCGCAGCAAACTCTTAATATTTTTCTCATTACTCTTGTTTTTAATTATGAGTAATTCTTTTATATTTAATTTTATGCACATTTTTTCTAGATCTCTCGCTAACTCTTCTAGAGACGATAACGATCGAGAATATAGGAATATGGTCGATAACGACGGGTTATACGTGCAAAGTTTAGCGTCGGACAAAATATTATACGCATTATTCAAATATTTTTCGTTACTATTTCCTGGAAAACGCAACTCTATTATGTCATTGGGTCGTTTTAACAACTCTACAGTAGTAGGTTGATCAGGCCTACTAACTGGAGGCTGTTTGTCTATCTGTCCGGTGTCCGTTTGGGGCTCTAACTTTTTCCTTTGAGCTCTAGTTAAAACGGATACTACTTTTTCCTGCATTTCTTTCAAATCGCGTGACGTCACCGGGAGTCGGCTTAACGCATCTGCAGCTGCGTTATTTCGCCCTGGGACGTATTCTACTTCGAAGTCGTATTCTTCAAGGTATAGTCGGAATTTTGTTAAACGACTAGACGGGTCTTTTAAACCGAATAAGTAAACAAGAGGTCTATGGTCCGAAAAGATTTTAAATTTTCTGCCGTACAAGTAAGGCCTAAAGTGACGGACTGCCCACACGATAGCTAATAATTCTAATTCTATTATTGGATATCTAGTTTCTGCCGGGTTCAAACTCCTACTAGCGTAAGCGACAACCTTTCCATTACTATTTGAGAGTACGGCGCCTAAGCCTAACTTAGATGCGTCTGTCTGGAACTGAAATGTGTTATTTTCCGAAAAGTCGGGATAGTCCAACACTGGAGGGTTCGTTAAAGCAGATTTTAATGTAATAAACGAACTTTCGCAATCTTTAGTCCACTCAAGTCTAATACCTTTTTTAGTTAATGCATTCAATGGGAACACAATATCAGCAAAACGTGGAATAAACCGACGATAATAGTTGGCGAACGCGACGAGTCGTTTTACTTCGTCAGCAGAAGTCGGGCGTGGGTAATTACGTATGGTGTCAATTTTACTGGGATCTGGGAATATTCCGTCTTGAGTAATTTTATGACCTAAATAGACTATTTCTTTTCTTAAAAATTCGCACTTAATTGGGTTTAGTTTGAGATTAACTTTTCTTAATCGATTCAATACGCTAATGAGATTTTTGTTATGAATATCGATACTAGAACCGATTACGACGCAATCATCTAGGTATAAAAAACATTTTTCGTAATTTAGGCCTGCCATGGCTATAGTCATCAGCCGAGAAAAGACACTAGCACTTGTCTTGAGACCCATTGGGCACCGCTTCATTTGATACTGTTTTCCTGCCGTAAAAGTAGTGTACTTTCGTGACTCATTATCTAAAGAAATCTGATACGTTTTATTTAATGTAAAAGAAGTATATTTACGGGAACTTGGATTTAAGGACAATTGATAATAAGATTGGGAGAGGTCTAATTTTGAAAAATAAATACTGCCTGACAATGAATCAAGTATCTCCGTTATATTGGGAAGCGGAAATTTGTCATCTTGAATTCGATCGTTTAATTTCCTGTAATCTATGACCAATCTCCATTTTCTTTCGTTATTTTTATCGACCTTTTTGGGTACTAAAAGTACTGGACTAGACCATTCCGAAACGGTTTCCTCAATGATGTCGTTTTTTAACATTTCCTGAACTTGTTTTTCTATCTCACCTTTTAACGCCTGAGAAACCTATAAGGCTTAGAATAAACTGGGGTCACGTTATCTTTTAAAACTATGCTATGTTCCATTAAGTTCGTAACTGATAACGAATCACCTGGTAAATGGAAAACATCTGCGTATTTGGCACAGATTTGTTCAATACTGAGCCTTTCTTCCCTATTTAAATAACTCAAATCAAGTAAATCGAATAAAGTTTTTATTCGCTCAACAGTTTTTTCTTCGCTTTCGAGGTGGCATACCTCGAAGTTACTAATGGAATGGACATTGACCTTTGAAAAATCTATCTCAATATCCTCATTTCTCGTATTCAACACTCTAATAGGAATACTTTTATTTAATGGTTTAGCTAACATTCCTGCGATAAAAATCCCTTCCTCAATTTCTTGAGCAAAAAAAACGCTATCTTCGCTTAAAGTGCAAGGAATATGTTTGATAACTTCGCAACGGGCGTGTATGACGTGTCTATACCTATCACTCCATCTACCCATTTTAAGACAAACTACGGAACCCTGATTCGATAACTGTAAGGTTCGTGTTTCGTAGTTGATTATCGCATTATAACGCTTAAAGAAATTATCGCCCAATATACCGTTAGCAAAACAAGAGAGATTCTTGAAAACGTAAAATTTCTCTCTAAAAGTTATGCCATTACAAACTAAATCTAAGTAAATATAACCGTCTGAAATTAATTTACCACTAACGCCCTTAATTGTTATTTTATCATAATGTAACTCATTCAAATACTCCTGGTTATCGAGGAGCCACTCATATTTCATAACACAAATGCTCGCGCCCGTATCTACTAAAAGACTTACCTTGCTATTATTACTTACATTTAAATCTACTACATTGTTTATGCTATAATTACAAACGAAATGATCACTAATTGTAGGGGCGAAAAAACTCACTATTCGGTGCAGATTGAGTGCGTTCCACGCTCTCAATGTGCTCCGATTGTATCTGAGAAACGCGGGCGTTTACATTTGGGCGAGATGGGTTGTACCGACCTCGGCCTCGCGAAGTACCCCGTTGGTACCTACCACGATTGAGCCCTCGAAAGTTACCCCTGTAAAATGTCCTGGAATTCGATCCACTTTGCGCTCTCTGATGGTTATAATTAGTATTTGAGCGAGCGTTATTAGGGCCTCTTTTATTTCTATTAAACTGATTGTCACGACTGCGGTAAATGTTCAACATATGCTCGTTACGAGCTGATGATGTGCTCTCGTCCAGCGCGGTTTGAATCGCTTCTGGAAGAGACTGGAATTGTCGGGAGGCTATGATAATGCTCAAACGCGAATCTGATAATCCGTCTGCGAAACGCTTAATCGCAATTTTCTCGTTCAAAGGACGAAGTGTTTCGTATTTTTTGTCATCATCGCCAGCCTGTGCTATAGTCAAGTTGACGAACAACTGTTCTAACTCAGAGCCGAACTTATCAATAGATCTACGGCCTTGGCTTGCGCTATTAAGCTGCGATTGCAATGCTACCGCGGATTTCTTCTGAATTAAGTGAGTGCGCATATCTAAAACCAAACTACTCACGGACTCGTAGCTAGATTTTAACCTCAGCTTGGCGCTAGGGGTCAGTCTAGTTTTCAAAACGAAATCAATTAACTGTTTTTTGCCATTTTCGTTAAGCATATCACTATACATCACAATACTATCTATCAGTTGAGTAGTAATATTTTCGTGGCCTGTCATTATTGGCAATAGGGCTATTGCCGTTTTTAAATCAAAGGCGCCCATGCTGGCTGAGTTATTGGAACTTTCTGATTCACGAGACATTAAATTTAAAATATTACTGTACAAGATATGTATGTCGTCTATGCATCTATTAATAACCTGAAAATCATCGCTACTTATCTCAGAATTCTCTATTTTTAGTTTGATTTTAGACGAAATATACTCCAAACGACTGTACAGATTTTTCGCTTCGCTAACTTTTTCTTTTGCTGTATCGGAACTCTCTCTACGTTTTGGTCCGATTTTCACTAGATAATCTCTAATTTCTTTTAAACTACTGTACACATTATTTAGTTCAGCTAGTGACATTGAAAAAATCGACAAATATAATTTCTAACAGTAAAGGAAAAGGAAACTATTATTTACACACTATGTAAAAACACTTAAAAATTATAATTTCACTTACTTGTTAAAATATCACGTACATATGTACTAATTACAAGGGCGGGGCGATGGTGTTTGTGGATGTAACCATTTTTAGGGCGGCGCGAGCAAGCGGGAACAGCACTGCAAACAGGATGTGTGGCTGCATGAGGTCATCTTCTTGAAGCGGGCCGGGTATTACCCTGGACACCTCTTGATGTTGGGCCGGGTATTACCCTGGACACCTCTTGAGATCTTCTAGTTAGTTGTAGGGCGGGCGATGTTTTCAAGCGAGATTGCGTTGAGTTCTCGCCTCAGAGTTTTCACGGCACTCTTCCTGCATTTTTTCATCAGGTAATAGATAACTGCTGCAGCCAGTATAACCACGGATACAATCATGAGGGTTTGTATGATGTGGTTTGTGTGAGCGTCTTCTAGGCTTGTATTTGCGAATGCTGCACCATTTGCGTTTTGTGCTATGACTACTTCTTTCGACTGCGATTTTCCCATTTCGTACCTTTATTTCTCTTTGGATTTCTGGCGTTTCTTCTTGGTTTTTTTTTTTGTTTTCTTCAAAATAGGGCGCTTCTTTTTTCTTTCTTCAGAATTTGTGCTTCTTTCTTCTATATGGTTTTCTTCATTCTTCTGTAAGGTTTTCTTCTTTCTTCTATAAGGTTTTCTTCTTTCTTCCGAATTTGGTTTTTTTTTTTGCACTGGTTTTTCACTTAGTGGGTAATTTCTTTGTTAGCATCCTGGCATGGTCGCCATGAGGCATGGTACGCGTGGGGGAAAAGAAAAGATACGTCTTCACCGTACGTCGGTCGTTTATTGAGTCCCAAATACCATCATTTCTTATAAAATCTAACTTATGCTAAACGCGCTTGCGCAGCAGTCACACGGGACTCGCGCATGAAATATAAAACTTCTAGGTAATGCACTACACCACTCTCTCAACCTTGCCATTGCTGACTCTTGTTCACAAGCAGATGTGCGAATTGCATTGGAATCGTGCCGTCAGCTGGTTCCTACTATAGACATTCCACTCAACGCACTGGCGTTTTGAAAGGTAAAATTCGGAAGCTGTTACCGGCTGATCATCAAAAAAGCCTGCTTGCAATGTGCGAAACACGGTCGGTTCACAAACATGAAGCCGTTATGAGATTTAAGGATATTTATTCAGCGATTGTGAATGCTCTGGAAGAACTCGAATCTAGCCACAATAAAGAAACATCGCAACAAGCTGTCCAAATGCTCAACACATTTTGAAATTCGAATTTTGCTATGTGCCTAGTGATTCTTCAAAAAGTCATGAGTTATACATTAACGCTATCAAAACTACTTCAAGCAATTAACACCGACCTAATAACAGTATTCGGCCACGTAGATGATGTTGTTCATGCTTTGCAACTTTTGAAAAATTAAGTTGACGAAGAGTAGCCTCATATCTATGAAGAAGCAATGGTGTTGCTGGAAAAAAATGGTGGTATACTGCAAATGTCACGTATTGTCGGAAGACAGTTGAACCGGTCTAACTGTCCTGCGTCGGATATATGCACGTATTACAAAATAAATTTATTCATCCCATTTCTAGAACATACAATTCAACAATTGATTGAGAGGTTTACAAAACACCGTAAAGTAGTATTGGTACTGTCTGGTCTGTTAACTTCAAATTTTGCGGCCAGTTCTGAAATTGAAGAGACAATTTGTATGTATTCGGCAGTGCTGCCTGAAAGAAATACATCTGTCGTCAAGGCAGAATTAGAAGTGTGGAAAGCAACTATGTCTATTACCTCCATTACTCCAAAATCTGCTTTGGAATGCTTAGATAAGTGCAATCAAGAACTTTATCCAAATATTTACACATTATTACAAATATTGGCTACCATACCTGTTTCCACTGCTACCCCAGAAAGGACTTTTTCAAGCCTAAGGAGACTTAAAACTACTTGCGGAACGGAGAAAACAGACTGAACGTCTCGGCTCTCATGAATATTCACTATGGGATAGAAATTGATGCGAGTAAAGTTGTCGATATATTTAAAAAGAAAAACAGGAGATTATTTCTATAATGCGCCTGTGTTCCAATCAACCTTCTGTTTATTTACATCTCTAGTTTTTTCATATGAATATTACGGTTATTTCATGCACTTTTAGTCGTTTTATTTTCTTCGAATTTGACCGCTTCGGGACTGAGGAGATATAGCTGCAACGTGGCTCTACCATGTATAAAACGTTGTCGTTTAACTGTTTATTATTAATTAAGGTTTTACGTTACCTTTGAAATAAAACAAACCATGATATAAATTATAAATTTATTTCTTTGACATCGTTTTTCTTCTTCTCAAAAAAATGTATATGTAATTCCGTCTTTCTACAGTGTCACTGGTAACCCATTATTTACATTGAAAAATGATAGTGATCGATGACACAAAGTTCAACTTTATACAAAAAAAGACGTAAATTATTTCTGCAACAGGGTATATGAAGACATATTTCGATTTAAATAATAACTGGTTAAATCTTTATTTTGACATTTTCATTTATGTTTTTAATATTTCATTGCTAAATCACATAATAAATACATTTATACAATTATCTAAAATATAGCAAACCCAGCTTATGATGACTCAACTATGAGTTATGGAATTAAGTCACTGCATTATTCTAATACCTTTATGTGGTAAAAAATAAATAAAGGGCCTTATGCTAATAATCTACACACCCTTCAAATAAAAAAATAACAAAAACTTATAAACTTAAAAATGAAATAAATATTGAATACATAATAGTATAAATTGCAAATAAATAAAGTTAACGAAATAACAGAGAATTAACAATATATTAAAGGGCCGAAAGATGTGAGTTTATTAAACAAAAGACCTATTATCACAGCTATTCGGATAAAGTTTACTTAAAGACCAGAATCTTAAATTATTTTAAATTAAAAGAGACTACACTGTATTGAAAATATTCAAAAACAATGCGCAGACCTAAGACACAGACCTAAGACAGCCTATACAATGGATTCGCAATGAAATCAGCTATAAATTTTAAGTATAACCTTATCCAAAGAGCAATTTCCAACTATTTAAATGATGACTTTAAAAAATTATATTGGCTGGGTCCTCAAGATTATCTTTCAGCGCCTTCATCCATTGTGCACCGACCGCACCATCAATTACTCTATGATCCGCAGACGCTGTAAACGTCACGAACTTTGCAACTCGGAATCTGCAAATAATATCCAGCAAAGACATGTTACAACTTAGCAATGAACGAAATCAAAATCGTAACAAAAATTTATCCCTGTGGCTCAAAAGAAGCAATCATGAAGACTAAGTAAACATGGGTAATAAGATATATTTTTGTTTTCGTATTTCGTAACATTTAAATATTTAACAAGATCATTGAGTATCATGGAAACTTACCCTTGCGGTTCATTTTTATCGGGGATAACTAATTCTTGTAGACCTCCGCATGCCAATATTAATGACTGAGGTGGATTTATAATGGCATTGAACATTGTTATACCTAGAAAGAAAAAAATAAAACAAGTCATTATGAGTATGTAGATGTTACTATTAATTTCACTAATACCTTAATTGTCAAAATATTACACGTTTCTTTATAAATTCTAAATTATTTTATAGCCGCAACTGTTTACTTCAATGTATCTGGCTAATATTTCCAATATGGACCAGATTTCAAAGCCATTTTTTTTGAATAGTTAAAAAAAGAATTTTAGGTTGCGGAAACTTACGGTTAATGAGATATATTTTTTTAAACTTTTCATACAAATTGGTAAATAACACACAATTACAAAATAAATTTGACAAATGATTAGATGTCAAACGTCAGTTAGTGTAGGGTTCCGAATATTTTGAAAGTATCGATACCTACTCGATACCAAGTATCGTATTTTTTTTTTTTTTATAGAACAGGGTGACAAACGAGCACACAGTCCACCTGATGGTAAGAGGTTGCTGCGGCCCATAGACATCTACATGTATCCTCAATTAAAAAGAAAATGCAGATGCGTTGTCACCCGTGAGGACTAAGTTGGAATGCCTCATTTCCAGTAAAAAAGGGTCTCCGGTTCTCTACACTCACCATACGAAATACAGCAGCATTAAGCTACTATTTCACGCTGGTATTCTGTGAGAGCGTGGTCCTTCCCCGGTCGAGCCGACCCATTCGTGCTACAAGTATACTACTAATATAACTGCAGCATGGCTCTACCACGTATCAAAAGTATCAATACTACTTGGTATCGAGTACATTTCGTTAATTTTGGAGACGAAAAATTATGACAAACCAATTAGATGCATAGGAAGAGCTGATAAGTGCAATTATATATGTATATGAAGTAGAATAAAGTTTACACTATTTAAGTTCCACCTTAGTACTTGTATTTCATTGTTTGCAACTTGTTTGTATTTCTTAATTAGTACAGCTTTTGTACTTTTATTTTATTGTTTGCAACTTTCTGTATTATCTAATTCTTACTACAATAAAGTGTTTACTTACTTATTGACTTACTTATTTAATATCCAAAAAGTACCCAAAACCGAATCAGAGCACCCCACTATCCACGTGGTCTTGTCTGCCCTACCCCTAGGGTGTATATAAGAGCCTGGAGGCGCGGAGGGAGAGCAGTGACCGCCTGCCGTAGGGAAGCGCAGGCACCGAGATCGCCGTAGCGGCTGAGGCTGGTCGCCGAAGGACGACCAAAAAGCCTAGGTGCCTGTGCTTCCCTACGCTAGGGCGGAGGCACTGCTCATCCCGCAGCGCCGGAGCTGCCACGGAGCGCCGGAGCACAACTTCCCGGCTTCTTACCGCCCTAGTCTCCAAAATTAACGAAATGTACTCGATACCAAGTAGTATAGATACTTTTGATACGATACTTGGTATGGAGTACGTATCGATACTTTCAAAATATTCGGAACCCTACACTAATTGACGTTTGACATCAATCATTTGTCAAATTTATTTTGTAATTGGTGTAATTGCGTGTTATTTGCCAATTTGTATGAAAAGTTTAAAAAAATCTATCTCATGAACCGTAAGTTTCCGCAACCTAAAACTTTGCAAAACGCTTTCTTTTAGTGAGTACTATCTACAAAAAAAATATGGGCTTTGAAATCGATGGTCCATATTGGAAATATTAACCATTAGGATAGTTGGCAACCGCAGCTTTAATTTTTTTTTCTTCTAATACCTCTAACGTCACCCATGGGACAATATACGGTAGTGGATATTCTTACACCACCACTACATCGATTAAAACTACTTTTACGGATTTTATCGCGTTTTATTTATATTAATTTTAATACCCGACGTTTCGGGTGTTTTCCAGCACCCATGGTCACGGGGGACTGAGGTGACTGACGTCCCGATGTCAAAGTTAACCCGGAGTACCTTCAGCTTTTTAATTATTGTCTTTGTGTCCGATCTACGCAGAATGAACTAACTGTATTTTGAAGTCTTGCAGTGGTATGCTTGGGTTTAAATTTGGCCCCAACCATTACATCAGATTTGATAAACCACAAATCCTCGCGAAAGAACATCGATTCCTACCAAGGATGATACGTGAGGCTATTGAAATTAAAAAACATCCTAATTTCAATAGAGAAGGAGGCTGGGTACTACCACCTGCTTGGGATCCTATAATTAATAAAATTAAAACTAAACCCAAGCATACCACTGCAAGACTTCAAAATACAGTTAGTTCATTCTGCGTAGATCGGACCAAAGACAATAATTAAAAAGCTGAAGGTACTCCGGGTTAACTTTGACATCGGGACGTCAGTCACCTCAGTCCCCTAGACCATGGGTGCTGGAAAGCACCCGAAACGTAAGGTATTAAAATTAATATAAATAAAACGCGATAAAATCCGTAAAAGTAGTTTTAATCAATGTATAGTGTTCGCGTAAATAAACTCAGCGACACAATTAACCACCCACCTTGATTTTTTACGATTTTGGTTAAAAAAAAAATTGTGGCCTTACTTGTGAATGTTATTTTATAACGTAGGTATATTGAAGTAAAATGAAAGATAATATTGTTTTTAATTATTACGTTTATTTATAAAAAAGTCTGAAAAACACTTTGACCGTAAATTAACAAATGTGATGAAATGGCTTAAAAATAAAAAAATCTGCTGAATAAATGAATTCTAATAGTGTGTATTTCCACCTCTAGCCCTCATGACTTCCATCAAACGGTTTGGCATGCTGTCGATGACATCTTTGATCTGTTGTTGTGGAATGTTCTGCCACTCCTCAATCACGGATTGTTTTAATTCATCTATGGTGGTTGGAGCTGGTATGCGGCTTCGAACACGTCTTTTTAAATTGTCCCATATGTGTTCAATAGGATTTAAATCTGGGCTCCGGGATGGCCATGTTAATTTTCGAATGCCGACGGTATCCAGGTACGCGGTAACAACTCTAGCAACGTGGGGGCGAGCGTTGTCCTGCATTAATAAAAAATCTTCGCCAATAAATGGAGCAAATGGCATTACATGAGGTTCCAATACTTCTGTTACATACCTCTGAGCATTTATTCCACCTCTTTCGAAGATAACCAAGTCGGTGCGTGCTTCGTAAGTAATGCCGCCCCATATGATAAAGCCACCTTTCATTCTTGCGTCTGTATACACGCTGGCGACCGTCAGGACCGTGCAAGCATATTCTTGTCTCGTCAGTAAACATAACATTCTTCCATTGTTCCATATTCCATTCGGCGTGCTCTCGGGAAAAACGAAGTCTTTCTCTCCGGTGGCCTACGAGTAATTGTGGCACTCGAGATGGTCGAAAAGCTCCAAGGGCATTCTCTCCTAGTCTTCTTCTCACTGTTCTTTCACTCACTTGAACATTGCGAACCTCACGAAGTTGGTTTCGTGCCTCAACAGCTATAGTGAACCGATTTCTTAGAACATTGGTCACAAGAAATCGGTCGTCACGAGCAGAGGTGCATCTTTTTCGGCCCTGTCCTGGTCTTCGCTCATAAGAGCCAGGTTCCCGAAACCGTTTCACTGCATCCCTTAAGGTGGTACGTGCGACACCAAGCTTCCGCGCCACGTAACGCTGACTAAACCCTTCGTCGATAAGAGCGACGGCTCTCGCCACTGAATTAGCATCAAATGGCATATTTGTGATGTCCAAACACTAGCTTTAAGTTACGAAACCAAAACAAACTCAAATTGTTTACTTTTAATGCCACTGAAGCAATGTAAGCAGTATGGCAACGATAACGATAATGAGACGAAGTTCGATATTTGTCCTATTCACAACTTATGCGTTAAAAAACAAAGTTAAGTGGGTAGCTTGTAATTTTTTCGTCACTACATTTCTTTCACACTTGACTTATTTATGCCCAATAACTTACAACTACGATAACATCAAAATTTGCCACTTTAAAAGGGCGGGCGGTTAATTGTGCCGCTAAGTGTATAAGAAATCATTATGTACACCACTACATCGGTTAAAGATTATAGATCAGAAGTAAATACGCTCCTAAAAGTGGCGGAGTTTCGGACACTAGCCGATCTCGATCAATACAGACAGAAGGGTACAAAATCATATGTGAGGACCGGTACTGAAATCGGGATTGCAACCATAGATTTGCTTGTCAAAGCTTGCTATTACGGCAAACTCCTCCCAGTATAGGAGAGGTTTTAAATTATTATAGTAACATGGTAAACTCAACAAAGTGATCAGCAGTAACTTTGGCGCGTAGACATCTCCATAAATCTTTAATAATATATCAGTACCACTGTCTTAGTAGTACCGTGCCAAGCCTTAAGTTTGAAACATGGATTGCCCCTAACATGTGCTTTTTCATGTTGTACATTTGTTTCTCTGACAAAAATTATATTTAAAAAAAATTCTTACTACACCTATGTCCAAATTTCACTTTGTTAGAGATAAATTTAATATTTGGTTACCCATCTTCAATGTTTAAGATTATAATTGAGAAGTATAAAATAACAAAACATATAGGTTCACCTTACTGTTGGGCGTAGGCCTCCTCATATTTTGAGTGCTTTGGAGCATGGAACAATATCATTGTAGATCCCAGAAATATTTTTCTTATATATATTACAATATTCCTTAGTATTTTCTACATTGTCTAGATGGGGTTAATCAGCACTAAAGCACTAAAGATAAATTTAACTTACCATACATTCCAAGGTTTGATACTGTCACTGTGCCTCCTTGATATTCCTGCGGCTGCAGCTTGCCTTCCTTTGCCTTCTGTGCTAGCTCTTTGATATTCTTCGATATATCAATAATACCGCGCGAATCGGCGTTGAAAATAATCGGAGTTATAAGGCCACTCGGTGTTGCTACTGCTACACTGACATCTACATTTGAGAATCTATAACAAATTAAAACAGATAAAATGGTCTTCAAAAAACAACTTCCTCAGAAAAACTGGGATCACAAAAATAAGATCAATAAAACACCATCTGAGTTAAAATTATATGTTTATTCATGTCATTATATTACTTAAAACTTATACTGCACAAAAAATAAACCTACCAAAAAAAAAAATGGAGTCAAAAACAAGCTTTCCAAACGCACCCAATGTTCAACATATGTATGGAATAAAAACACAAATAGATAGAGTGCCTGTGTGGTGATGTACAACCTTTTTTTTATTTTACAAATCAAACTCCAATAAATTATTTTTTTAAAACAAAATATACAATATTAAGCACAATTTATCTCATTGAATAATACAAATTTTACAGATCTTATACATTTTTTTTAAACAGACTTTTTTACCGTCCGGAAAAAAATATGGTGTTTTGTGTAAGTGGAATAGAAGTTATACACGAAAGTATAAAATATAACTGATAGGCAAAATTTCCGAATATCCGAAAAAAAATACATAAAACAATTCACCCTACGGCATTTGTGTAAAACTAAAAATAGGTGATATTATTTTAAACGGCGGCCACTCCTGCCGGAACTGAAAACCTTTCATTTCAGATTATTTTTGTGATTTTGATCTTTCCTTCATACTTTTAAGACCGATTTACACTTCGACAAGCACAGTAGCGAGTTTAGTTAAAGGGCAGTTGACAGTAAACGGTTAAGTGGGCAGTAGCGTTCAAACAATGTTTTCGTGGCGAGTTTAGTTAAGGATATTAGTTCATAGAGTTCGTTGGAGTATGACGTTTCAAGACTACAGAATTTTTCTGGTTTTCATTTAAAATGGTTCTAGGATTACGTCCAGAATTAAATGATCCAGTCAGAGAGAGAGTATTAATGGTTGTTGTTAAAGAAGTTTTTAAGAATTTTCATGAGTGCAGCATCTCGAGCAGGTTTCATTTTACAATTTGAACTTCTACTATTATATAAAAATTCATATAATAGTAGAAGTTCAAATATCATATCCGTCATATCTTCCGTTCATTTTATTATTAAAACTCAGTATAAAACGTATAAATATTCAATAAACAGTATCGTACAAACTTTGTGGCGAGTTTAATTATAAAAGTACAATTGTACGTTTTGGCGCGCAAACGTTGCGTCCTGTCAACTTATGCACTGAAGTGAACTAAACTCGCTCGTTTACACAAACGGCGAGTTTAGTTGCAGGTGGCGGGAGACGCGCGAGAGGGCAGCACTTCGCACTTAACTCGCCGAAAAATAGCTCGGCCGGCTATCCCGTTCAACTTAATCGTTAACTTGCTACTTAACTCGCTTATTGCCGTTCAACCGAGGAAGGCGCCTGGGCACGACAGGATTACCAACGCTGCACTCCGACAGCTGCCCCATAGAGTCCTAGTAGAGCTTGGTCGACTCTACAATGGGATACTGCGGACATCCCACTTCCCGGAGGACTGGAAAAAAGGCAGAATTATCGTCTTGCCGAAGCCCGGGAAGGACAGGCGTAGAGCTGCCAGCTACAGGCCGATCACGCTGCTACCACACATAGCTAAACTGCTAGAAAGATTGTTGCTAAGACGCCTCCGCCCGTGCATCCAACTTCGGGCGGAGCAGCACGGATTCAGGAAGGGTCACTCCACAGCAACACAGCTGACCAGAGTGCTGCACCTGCTTGCGGCCGAATACAACCGTGGCCGCACTACGTTGGGCGTCTTTCTCGATATCGAGAAGGCGTTCGACAGGGTGTGGCATTCTGGACTACTTTACAAACTAGAAGAACAGACCAGTGTCCCTCCTGCTATGTTGCGGCTAGTGGCGTCTTTCCTGGCAGACAGGAAGTTCTACGTCTGTGTAGAGGGCGCCGAGTCCGCAACCAGAACCATCAGATCCGGCGTTCCTCAGGGCAGCTGTTTGTCTCCAGTCCTGTACGCAGCTTATACCAACGACATCCCAACATTGGCAGGTAGGCTGAAAGAGTGGGAGGATGACGTGGAATTGGCGTTATATGCGGACGATAGCGCTTATTTCACCTCGTCCAGAAGGGCCCACATTGCCACTGCCAAGATGCAACGACTGCTGGACCTGCTGCAACCATGGCTAGATGAGTGGAGGATGGTCGTCAATGTTGGTAAGACGACCGCTCTGCTCACCCGCCGCCTCAGAAATCTACCACCTCCGTTAACCCTCAACGGCCAGAAGATCGCGTACGAGAAGGCCGTGACCTACCTTGGGTGCCGGATTGACCGGGCGCTGCGTATGACTGCACACGTCGACTTCGTTGTCCGCAGAGCACGGGGTGTGCGGGCAATGCTACGTCCGGTACTGGCATCTAAGTTACCACTTAAAACAAAAGTGCGTGTTTACAAAATGTATATCAGACCCATTATCACCTACGTTGCTCCGGCCTGGTACGCGCTTCTGAGCGAGCCTCTGAGGCGGCGATTGCAGGCCCAGCAAAATTTGACACTAAGAACGATCGTCGGAGCAGGTCGCTACGTCCGGAATGACGTAATAGCGGCCGACTTGAAGATCGAGAACATCACCGACTTCGTGGCCCGGCTAGCGCGCGGCATGTTCGACCGCGCCGACAACGGGCCACATGAACATCTCAACGGCTTTGCGCCGTTGCACACTCGGCCACCGGACGGGCGGCCTCTTCCAAGAGAACTCCTCTCTATATGTGATTAGAGTTGAGTAACAACCCTCAATGCCGCCGATAGGCCAACTCCGACTTCACCGGATAACCTCCCTTTTTCGTAGTCTTACCCGACTACGAAAAAATGTACCGATTACGGACTAATCCGAATTTAAGACTAACAATGCCAATAGAAGGCTCCCAGGACCGGTCCATAGTGGTGGACCGCGAGGATAACACGGGTAATGGGGGCACACCCCGAGGCCCGAAACCTCCATGCACCTAGGCGCATGAAGACGATAATCAACGGCTTATTGCCGTTCATACGAGGTTCAAACTTAACTCGCCAGGTTCGCAAGTTAACTCGCTACTGTACTTGTCGAAGTGTAAATCGGTCTTTACGGACTTAGGGACTGTCCAATGTGCTGTAGTTGAGTAGAATTACATATTAAATTTTATCTTGCATTATAATGAATTCATAAACAGTTTCTAAGAATAATTTTATGCCTACCGTATACTGTAACATCTTAGGCCTATTCAAAAGATCGGAATCAACTTAATTAAAAACTACACTGATTGCTATTTACAAAATAATACTACATTATAGTTATTTACAAAAAAAAATACCTTTTTAGTGATATCGCAGTAATTATTCAAAATGTCTACCGTTATATACCAAGTCTCTGTCAATTGTTTGAAACAAAGAGTATCTCTATCACTTTTCTCTATTATACGAGGGCGGCACTGAAAACTTCGGGAATCAAGGAAGTGACACAACATTACTATTTAAAAATGTATTTATTGTTTTTCGAAGTGCTCTCCGCGAAATTTGACACATTTTTCCATACGATGGAACCAATAATTGAAGCAACCATTCCATTCGGAAGTTGGGGTCTCCAAAATGACCGTTTTGTAGGCATCCACAGCTTCTTCAGGTGATGAAAATCTCTGTCCACGCAATTTATTCTTTATTTTAGAGAAAGTATAGAAATCATTAGGGCTTAGGTCGAGGCTGTACGGCGGATGGTCTAATAATTCTATGTTTTCTTGCTCTAAAAACTCTTTTGTTCTGTGTGCGGTGTGAGAACTCGCATTGTCGTGATGGAGGATGATGCGGCGGTTACAGTTCTCTTTACGGAGTTCAGAAACGACCTGTGGCAAACAAATGCTAGCATACCATTCTGCATTAACCGTTCTTTGTCCCTCAAGAGGAATAGTCGTAACAGGCCCACTGGCCACCATTTTTTTTGCAACACTCCGTGAACGAACAATTTTTGTTGGCTTTTCGAACACCCAAACTCGTGACTGGGTTTTTGTTTCGGGTTCGTACGCGTATATCCAGGATTCGTCACCTGATACGATGTTATATACAGCATTTGAGGATCCTGGGTGGAATCTTTCGAAAGCTCTGACGCACCAAGTAACGCGAGCCGCTTTTTACTCTTCACAGAGCGAATGCGGTATCCATCGGGAAAACAACTTTTTTACACCTAATTGTTCATGCAAGATTATTTGTATTTGACTCATGCCAATGTCTAAAGTTGCCTGAATTTCGCGGTATGTCACATGTCGATCTTCCTCAATCAGCTTACGCACAGCATCAACGTTTTCTTGGGTGACTGCAGTTTTTGGACGACCTTGACGGGGATCATCACTGAGCTTGACACGTCCACGTTGAAATTCAGCAAACCAGCGATAAATTGTAGTTTTGGATGGGGCTTCATCACCAAATGCAGAAATCATCCGGTCAACACACTGTTTTTGTGTTAAACCACTTCGAAAGTCATAATAAATCATCGCTCTTGAATTTTCTCGAGTCAATTCCATTTTCTCAACGACTAAACGAGTTTGACAAAACCTTGTGACAAGACCGAGAATCTTTTTTTTAAATAAATAAATGGTATTCGATTTTTAAAACCAAGGAGTTTTCAATTAAAAAGATTTTAATATGACAGGAACAGTGGAAATATTCCATCCCCGATACTTTTAGTGCAGCCCTCGTATGCTGCTTTAAATCACTAATATTTTGTGCTTCTTCTGTGTATACTAATCGTTTTAGTTCGCCTCACAAATAAAATTCTAGAGGCGTTAAGTCTGCTGATCTCGCCAGACATTTCACAGGTCCACCGCGACCTATCCACCTATCACCGAATTAGCTGTCCAAATATGCGCGCACAGATCGTTCGTAATGATATGGCTCTGAGGAACGTTTTCCAACATTGTGTCGATGACGGAACGTATCAAATACATATAAGTTAATCCCTTTGACCTTCAACTCAACCCATTTGAACCAATGATGTAGTCGTTAATGATTGCCGCCCAAATGCTAACAGAGACGAACTTGATGAGCATGATCTTTGTTTTTGTGTAGGTTTTGGAAACTCCACCAGTGCTCACTGTAAATTCCAACACGGGTAAATATAGACTCGTCGGACCGTCTAAGTTTTCACCAGACAAGATCTCACTCGACATTAGAGTATTGGTACATGTTTACGATAACTATCAGCGGACGGCCGATACACACGCGGAAACATAAACAATATGTCGTCAAGTCTTGGCTAATCACAGGTGACTGAAATGAAATGAGAGCGCGGGAGCGGGCGGCCTTACGCCTGCGAGCCTTCGAAAGGACAAGGTCTTTTGTTTGGTGCGGCGAGTGCGAGTATAGTAGGGTGCGTATAATTTGAATTCCGATAGTTTTTAATTAATTAATTTCTTTAATTCAATTTTTTAAGTTTTATACTGAAAGATTATTTCAAATTTGTATTATTTATTGACATATCAATTTCATAATATGTTAATGTGTAAAAATTGTAAAATATCAGTACCATAGGCTTCTATTCCGTTCACACCCTATTTTTTCCAGGCGGTAAAAAAAATAATCCAGTATTACTTGAATTTAAAGCTTTACTTTTGCAAAAGTTAAAAACATTGGCCTGAAGAGATACCCATAAACCTTTACCTAAAAATATATAAAACACAAGAACACCATTACCAAGACTCGGTGCTGCAAATTGACAAATCGGCGGGAGAGGCTAATCTGTGATAATGGTGAAAAGTAATGAACTACCCACGTGATAAATTAAAAAAATATATAGTGGTAAACAACAACAGCACTTACTGTCTAATGAAAGTATCCATCCAGTGGGAATTGGCTGTCGGTACCCGCTTGCACGCTGAAGCAACGGCCTTAACAATGAAGTCATTGACAGAGATCTGCAATGAGATAACACGACAGCATCAGTAAGTACTGAACAAAAGATATTGCACACAGAAATGGTGGATATAGTACAATGCAGGTGTGAAGAATTGTTTTGACCAGCCCAGAATAATTCCTTAAATTATTGACAAACAAGATGATTTTATAAAGCAGCTTATTGTTTAGTTGCATTGCAGAGCAGAGGGTTCAAGCCCCGCTCGTAAGCTATTGTTTGTATAGCCACAAATATTGATTATTTCGGGACTGGATGTTTATGCACCTGCAATTTATGTTTGCAAAACGTCTCCAAGATGCAGTATCATAACATTTTTTGCAACAATATCAACATGGATTTTTGAATCAATAGAATCATTGAAACTATTGTATTCAATGTATGTAAACAGTCATTGAAAAACAAAAACCAACTTACTTTCAGTCCAGGTTCTTCCTTCTCAAGTCGTTCATTGATAGCCTTCCTCAATTTCAATGTTTTCTCAACATTGACAGTAGCGCACAGCTGGTAATGTGGTATTGTCTGTTTAGCAGCCGACAGCCGCTTGGCGATAGTCTCTCGCATTCCAGTAAGAGGGATGTCGACAAAAGTTGCTCCTGGAGCTGGGGCTACTGCTGGAGCCGAAACAGACGGTGCAGCTGCTGCGCCTGCGAGGTCACCACTCTTTAGTGACCCGTACAATCCAGATCCCTGGCCTATGCAAATGGCACATGTCAGGTGTTAAACTAGTATGCCATTTATTATTGCCAGAGGATCGGAAAATAAATGGCATATTTATACACTTATTAAAATTTCCGCCAAATGACACACTCAACGATATTTTATTTGCATTATCATACAAACTACACAGCCCTCACAAAGGGATAGGGGCTGTTATTATTTTTCATACAACATTTATATCTCTTGCCATAACCAAAGACTTCTAGGTTCTATATTGAGTCAATTACTTTTCGCTATGTACTATCTACAATATAATATTGTTTAGATGAATTGATGTGAAGTTAAAACCAATCATAAAGTCAAATAGTTACTTATTTAGATTAAACAATATAGTTTATATGTTTCTTAAACACAAACAATAAATTTAAAAAAAATAACGATCAGAGTTTGAAATGTATTGCACTTTGGTAAAATACTGCTATTTCACACGAAACATTTTAGATGTAAACACATTTAAGCCTATCAGGTACTCAGACCACTCATACATCCTAACTTATCCGTGACATATGAAAGCTTTATGCAATAATATCGGTAGTTAGTTTAGTTTACGACGGGCTATATTCCGCAACTCCACTTCTGAGCACGTATTTTGCGTGTGGGCAGGAGTAATATGATTATTCGAGCCATGAAATCTCCCCGAAGAAGTTCAACAGTCTTTTGATACTGCAACTTCGGGGCGCGATCCCGGCATCCCGCGATGCTTAGCCCTGTATGAAGCGACCTCCGGACATGTCAGTAACACGTGAGCCGCCGTTTCTTCCTCCCCCACGCATGCCCTGCACAGGGGGCTATCTATAACATCTATGGTAAATAAACGTTTGTTAAAGGAGTCATCCTGTGACAGCACTTGTTACTATTCTGAACTGTGGCTTGTTCAGTCCCATTAGAACCTTGGCTATACGGCTCTTTATTTCAGGCAGGGCCTCCATAGCTTGTCTACAGTCTTCTTGATTTTACCAAAGCTAAGGGTGTAAATTATTGAAGTTTCTACATATCATTGAATGAACATAACCAAACAGGATTGGTATTATTGGTTCCGGCCCTGTAACCAGAGCCGATCCCCTACTGGCCAGTTCATCTGCTGCATCGTTACCTCTAGATCCACTGTGTCCCTTAATCCATTGCAGAGTCACATTGTTGTGCTTACATACCTCATTTAATTGTTGATGGCATTCATATATTAGTCCCGAGTTCACAACATTACAACTAAGAGCTTATAGTACCGCCACACGTCACCGGTCATTATTCTGATGGAGAAGTCTATTATTGCTATGGCCGCTTGGATGATACCCAAACATTCCGCATGAAAGACTGTATTATGGGTACCCAGCGGTGTATATATATGGATATTAAGGTCTTCAGAGAAAGTTCCAGATCCTACAGCTTCATTTGGTTTAGAACCATCCATGAAAACTCAGTCTTTTGGGTTTAATCTCTCCCACTGATTGGTTTCATTTAATTATATCTTATACTTCTTATTACATACAAATTGTTTTGGAATCTTATCATACTTGGCTTGTAAGATAGGAATTTTTGAGTAAATTATATCAATTATACCTGTATGGGGGACTCTAATCTTACTTAAAAGATTTAGGGTCTTGAGTCTAATGGCAGCTAAAGTTACTTCTTGTATATGTAGATGAAGCGGAGTTAGCTCCAGTATAGCCTCTAAAGCTGCTGATGGTGTAGTTCTTATGCGGACTGTGGCGGTCATACATGCCAATCTCTGGTAATGCTGAAGCTTTTTTATAGTGATGGCTTTATTGGTTTTGGTCCACCATACTAGAGTGGTATGTGATCATGGGCTGAATTACAGTTTTGTACAGCCACAGTATAATTTTTGGCGTCATCGTTTCCAATCATGTTTTCTGCATTGCCAGAAAGTTATACTAGCTTTGTTGATTTTGTTTTTGTTTATTACAGTTAAGTTTACTGTTCAAGGTAAGACCTAAGTATTTCACCTCAGAGGATAGCTGGCAATTTGTGCTGAAAAGACTTGGGAGATGATAGTTGTTCAGCATTCGTTTTTGTGTGAGAATATAATATCGGTAATTAGCTACACAGTGCTACTAGACACAAGCAAAAGAAAGTCACAACAAACACTGCCCCACCCGGAAACCAATAATTTGTAAAATATTCCCTTTGATTAACATTAAAATCAAGTAATGCAACATATTGATTTAGATGTAGGTATTAATTAGTCGCTGAAAAACATAGTACATACCCCCAAGTCGGATATTCCTAATTTCAGCCAGCCGACGCGCCATAGGGCTGGCGTATGTCCTGCCAGTGTCGGGCGTGGGGGGAGCTGGGGCAGCTGGGGCCGTGGGAGCGGCTGCGGGGGAGGGGGGCCGCGCAGCCGGTGCAGCTGCCGGCGCTGCTGGTGGGGGAGCTTCTGCCGCTGATTATATAATATAAAAGAACTGCGTTAACATTGACTTTATAAAGCTTAAACGTAAAATAGGTCTATTTTATTATTTAATGATTTCTTATATTTACGCGAACACTACACATTTAAATAATACTCGTTTTTACGGATTTTGTCGCGTATATTTAACTATACTATATATTTAACGTCGGGTATTACGTTTCGAGCGTTTTACAGCACCCATGGTCACGGGGGGACTGAGATGTTAAACGCCCAGATATCATAGTTAACAGCGGTTATCATAGATAAACAAACGTTAAATTTTAATCTATGGTAACCGCTGTTAACTATGACATCTGGATGTTTAACATTTCAGTCCCCCCCGTGACCATGGGTGCTACAAAACGCTCGAAACGTCGGGTATTTATAGTTAAATATACGCAATAAAATCCGTAAAAACGAGTATTATTTAAATATATTTTATTAATCCCGTCAGAACTCATAAAATTGTGTGTTTTAATTAGTGATAGTTTAATTAAACAGGTGCACTCCGAAGTCGGTAATACAAACAATTTCATTTTCAAGTAGATTTTAGTTAATTAATTTTTTAATTTTTTAACAGTATACATGTGAGTCAGACCCAAATTTTTTAACAATCTTTGAAGAAGGCCAGTGCTCAGCAGAGGACTAAAATTAAGCTGTAATATTAATGGTGATAATTTTTTTAAAGTTGTAGTCAAAGTGTAGGAAAATATGGAATACAATAAATTAAAAACAAAAAAATATTCTTTTTGTAGTGGGTAGTAGGGTTAATTTTTTAGTTATGAGGTCATGAGACTATCTGAGTAGTTACCACACTCTTACATATTTCTGGCTCAAAGCTGTAGTGCATCCATTGTGGTGTTCTCGTGTCCCATATAAGGAAAGCCCATATAATTATAGGGGATCTACGAGTCTTTCAACTTTAATCTATGTGTCATTCAATGTTAGTTCTCTTGGGTAATATTAATATTTAGCTTCTATGTTTATAATTGGTTGCCGGTGTTCAAGGTTTGCAGTAGCTCCTTATTATAAGGCGGTTTTAATTTTATTTTTTTATTTTTCCTCTAGAAAGAATAATATTTAATGCTCTCTCAACTTAATGTTAGTAAAATATTACCTTTAGGAGGCGCCGGTTTTGCTGGAGCTCCAGTTGCTGCAAATTATATCCTATTTAGTTAACAGTCTCATGCAATTAAAATTACACACAAAACGCTCATGCAAGAAAAGATTTAATTTTTACAATCTCATTGATATTATATAATGTTAATATGTTTAAATATTTACTGGCTGATTTAGAAACTATTTTTATTAAAAACTGTATAAAAATTATTATCACAAAATAATACATTTCTAATAACAACCAGGGGTTGTTATTAGAACATTACATTTCTAATAACAACCCCTGGGAATGAGGTTGTTGCTTCCAAACAGTTTCTAAAATAAGTTTCGTTACTAGTTTTTACAAGCTGTGTTTTTATTGTACAATTTTACTTTGAATAAACAAGTCAAGGTTTCTTGCTATTTTTTCTCAGGGGCGACGTTTTTTCAAAACCAGTGATAAAAAAAATAATTTCAATAAAAATTACTTGTAACCTATGTATACTGAATAAAAAAATTTCAATTCTATTCTATTCCTATTATTTTTAATTATTTAGGCGAAGTGTAGAGCATCCCCCCACTAGATGAAGTGACAACCTGGTAAGACATGCAGAAAGTCGATGGATGCAGGTGGCTCAGGATCGTGCTTTGTGGCAATCCTTGGGGGAGGCCTATGTTCAGCAGTGGACTTGTGAAGGGCTTTAATGATGATGATTCTATTCTTACATTGATTAAAACTACTTTTACGGATTTTTTCGCGTTTAATTTTACTTTTAATTATTTTTATTTTTAATTCCCGACGTTTCGGGTGCTTTCCAGCACCCATGGTCATGGGGGACTGAGATGACTGACGTCCCGATGTCATTGTTAAACCCGGAGTACCTTCAGCTTTTTTAATTATTGTTTACGGTCCGATCTATGCAAAATGAACTGATTATGTCCGAGGTCTATTCTTACATTCTAATATAGAAACTGTGGTTGCCAACCCACTTGCCAAGTTTGCTAAATATCCCCCCTACGAGTAGTAGTAGTAGTATTCATCAAGATAAAAGATAAAGCCTATATACATCCCACTCCTGGGGCACAGGCCTCCGCTCAGAGGGTTTTAGGGCAAGGAATTAAATGCCCCAATGCGTTTTGGCAAACTTCACATGTCTTTGAAATATTTTTTTTCTTATTTCTAATTAAAAATTTTTTTAGAATAAGCAGATTTCCTTACTATGTTTTCTTTCACCGCTGAGCACGTGATAAATCATCAATAAAGGTGCCGGCGGGGATCGAACCCGGTTTGCTCGCGTACTGTAAATTTATAGCGAGCGCTAACCATCTGAGCTACCACGGCTCAACATATCTCAAAATAAATCGATAAACATTTTACCATTTCACATTTTATTGTAAAGGTCTCAGTTTAACAGTGGAATTAAAAAGGCTGTACCATATAACTGTATGAATACGTGAAATTATGACATAATAAATTAGAAAGTCTTTACTTTTTTTAACCTCCTGGACTGTGGTCATTAACAATTTCTCTGTCTGCCAAAAGACACAACTGTAAAATAATCACAATGTTCATATGACAGTGAAATGCTTAGGTAAATATTTAAAATAGAGGTCTCATTTGTCAAAATCCAATTTGGTATTTATATTTGAGCTTTAAACATTATTTTTATGTTTTGCTTTATGCCCAAATTAATACACAAATTTTGATTGTATTTGCAATCTAAGCAGTAATTTATTTTATAGCTTTTTTATTTAAATTTTATAATGATTAGAGTGCTAAAGAGTTATAAAATGCCATTTAACATTTTACAAAGATGATATATTTATTATTTATTAATTACACTAACTGAATACAAACATTGTTTTTTATGTAATTTGTTATGATTTGGTTATGAATTTAGTGACAGCCCTAAAGAAAATTAGTTGATTTAAAATAATTGTAAATAAACCTTTTTACCCTAGCATGGGTGTGTAGCATAAATAACATTGTATTCATTGACGGTGTAACCTTGTACAAACTATGATAATTAAAATAAATCCATTTTAGTAGACAGTCCCTCATAGCTTAGCAATGGTCAATGAAAGGGATATTATGAATTAATTAAGAAATGAAGCAATGAAAACATCAAAAAATATAATCCTATTATAAAACCAAAACCATAAAAGTAAAAGTTGACTTTTAATAACTTGACAGAAAAGAAAAGAATATTTATTAAAATCATTTGTTAATTAATTTCATGCATTTTTGTTAAAATAAATACCATCTCTTAGTTAACACCTCTAAGTACCACAATAGGTTTTATAAATGAACAGTCTCACAATGTTTGAGAACCATTGTGAGACTGTATTATTTTTACATATCAAATTGATTATTTACATAAAACATTATGTAAGTAGCAGAAATTCACTAAACTCTAGTAAAGAGAAATATTAAATTAATTTAAATACATACAATCGTCTTTGAAGTCTTTGAATGCAGCAACATCAGCTTGATTTTCCACAATAATGCACAGAAGTTTTCCGACAGGAACACCTTTAGTGCCCTCAGGAATAATAATTTTTGCTAAATAACCTTCCTCAGGTGTTTCAAAGCCCATTGTTGCCTTATCAGTTTCAATTTCACAAAGGAGATCACCTATAAAACATGTGAATACAAAATTGTCAGTAATTATGCACTTATGTTTATTTTTAAATTACAGTTTAAGCTGTAAAAAGTGCATTGGAGCAGTGACGAGTCCACCACAATGCTCTAATGCAAATTGGTGGACTTTATATGTTTTCAAAATATTTTAATATCTCAAAATCATTAACTTTCTTAATAAGTTTTCTTTTACTGCTGAGCACATGATAAATCAACACTTAAAAATTGTGATTAACAATCAAGGATTACATTAGTATTGCTCTCATGATATGAAATTTAAAGCAAGTCAGCCATCCCATTTAGAGGCTGCTAGTTTACAACTAATATCCAAACATGACAACACTTGTGTGCACTTAAGGAGTACATTACATGCTCATGCAGGCTGTCAGATTTTACAACAATCACAGTTGTGTTTGACAAATAACCTTCCGTGTAATGCAGTGATTGATGCCTGCAAGAGCGCGTAATGTACGCCTATCAGTCACCATCTGTTATTTATCAATCATGATTGATGGAATTGATTGACACCTGCATGAGCGTGTAATATACACCTAAGCTTTCAACTTTATTGCTATATTAAATACAATTGCAAATACCCAGATGCATAATGGATAGTTAAAGATTTCTACACATCTTATGCCGCAGTTACCAATTCAACTGCAAAGTGTTAACTATGATGTGAAAAGTCCACACTCTGCAGTGGATAGTTATGGGCTAATAAATGAGAAGAAAACATAAAAAAAATTACCTTCACTAAGTTTATCACCCTCTTTCTTTTCCCATCTCACAATAGAACCACTTTCCATTGTTGGTGATAGAGCAGGTAGGTTTACCTTGGAATGAGTTGGGAGATCTGAATAATAACGTATTTGGGGCTTCCATAGTGATACCAATATCTCCCTCCTGGATTCTGAAGATAGAAGTCTGCAACAAAAATAACATTATCAACAAAAAATAAAAATGAGAACAAAAATATTCTGTGATGGTTAAATATTATTTACAGATATTTTATACTTAAGGATTTGTCTGTATCTTTTTTAAATTATTATAAATTTATTGTAAAAAAACTGTCATTTTTAAAGATGTTCATATATGACATAAATAGTTGTTAAAAATGTTCATATTTGACATAACTATCAATTCAGTGATTAAAATTTTATTTTATTATACGGATCTTAGCTAATTAATTTTTAACATCTTTTATATAATTAATTTAGACAATGTAACATATGATTTTATTAATAATATAACTGATAGAATCAGGCGTTACTTTGCGGAAATCCATTATAATAACAATATTAATAGTTAGTTTGCAACCTTCCGCTCAATTAAATGATGTGTCTTACCTAGTTTGAAGAGCACTTCCCGCCCTCCATCAATTGCGTGCACTAATTCCGTCACCACTAATCCCAGCACCACTACTCCCAACACCACTACTTCCAACACCACTATTCTAGGAAAGACACACCATCGACGATAATCACGTGTTTTGCCTCTGCACAAGGCATCTTCAGGTGATGTAGACTCTATGGCGGCTGATCGCTAAGACTTAGCGGTCAGCCGCCGTAGAGCGGAAGGTTGCAAAGTAACTATTAATATCTTTATTTATTACAAAATCTCATTTTTAATTCCACCAGTAATAATACATGTCTGGCCTTTAGTTGATTGCATGCTTAAAAACTAAGTATTATTTAGCTCCAGTCATAACTGGAGCTAAATAATACTTAGTAGACAATAGAGACATATCTCTATTGTCACTTAGTGTAAGAGAACACTGTTTAGACCTTTTATTCTATATTTATTGACTTCAATTCTTATTGAGTGCAATTCTCAAAATTTAATTAAATTTGTGAAATGAAACTTTTTGTCATTTGACATTTCAATTGTAATAGGTTTCTTTTCTATGGTACAATTTTATAACTCTAGTGATTTTTTCAAGTTATATTTCAATAACCTTGATTTTGGTACTATAATAAATAATATACTTTTGTTAATTATACATCTTTACTGACCACATTAGAAATATAAAATTGTCATAATATTTTAATACTCTGAGTAAAAACTTCACCTACATTTATTTTATTTTATTCTTATCCCCACTGACATTTTTTTGTAGTTTTTAAATAGTGGAGAAACAGTACACTTAGATGTTTCAGAGAATATTTGAAAGGGAATTACGGAAATGCTCGACATCTGGGAGCAACATGTATTATTAATTATTGCATGCGAAAGGTAAAAGACGATACAGGTTAAAGCACGTTTCTATCTACTGACATTACACAAGGTACTAACACGGTTTGACGTTTTGGTTATGCAATTGCCGCCGATTAGAAGTACGAACTAAAATCGGTGTTTATTAAATCTTCTTGAAGATTTGTATTGAAGATCATAATAACAGCGCAATTTTCACTGGATTATAATGACAAAGATTATTAAAACATTTAACTTACTTATTAGAATGTGTCCTCTTAACCAACTCCGTGCTCATACATCTCGTAAGATTAAAGCGAATAGCTTTTTTCAAACTTTCGCTTAAAATTTGATTTCGCACAACAATCGTTCGCAACATAATTAATATTGTTAAATACTATAACTATTCCGTCCAGTTAATAAGGACGGTTTCAATAAAAGCCGTAAGACCGACCTTTACAAATTTGTAGGTCGTTGAAGTAAATTTGACAGTACTGACACTGACATCATGAAATAAACGACAGCTGACGTTATAGACAACCACAAACTAATAAATCGACGATGAAAAGGAAAAAATTACAAAGCTTTGTGTATAAAACCAAAAGTGACGGCATCGCAAGTAGTGCGCCCTTCTTTTTGCCAAGGAGGGTCGCGTCCGTATACGGCTTAGATCTCTCGTCAGATCGGTAAGCCAATCCATAAAGGCGGTGTTTAGTGGGTAAAAGTCTCCACATAACCACGCAGCCGGCTGCGTGGTATGCTATGAGCATACACCGCCTCCATCCCCCGCTTTCCGGAGGGTTGCCCATATTTGCTTCGGGCGCAAAAAAATAATCGCAAGTAGAGATGTCGTACTTGCAAAATCGTGTACCAGGGCTTTCAATTACATCCACCTTCAGATACCAGCGCCAAAAACCAGGGTTCGAGATACTTTCAAGTATTTTCTTTCTGCATCAAAAATTAATCCGAAGATAATATCTATAAGGAGCGCAATCGCATATGCTAAAATAATAAAGTTTCAAGCCTTGTTGAAAGAAAACTACTTGCATAGAACATTGATCCATAACGATATACCAATAAAGAGCACAATAGCGTTTACAAAAATAAATACTTCCAAACCTTTAAAGTTCCAACTTTCAAGTCTTGTTGGAAGACAAATACTTGCACACTAATTTGATCCGTAAGCGTATAAAAATAAAGAGCACAATTGCGTTTACAAAAAAATACTTCCAAACTTTTAAAGGTTCCAACTTTCAAGCCTTGTTGCAAGAAAAATACTTGCATAGAACATTGATCCGTAAATGTATACAAATAAAGAGAAATAAAAAATACTTCCAATCCTTTAAAGTAAATATACCTTGATAGAACATTGATCCGTAATCTAATATATATAAGGAGCAGAATCGTATCGAGTGTCGACAGAGTAAGAACATTCAAATACTTTGAAGTCTTGTGAGTATTTTCGTTCAGCAATTGGTCGGCGTACTTGCAAGTAAATACCTGGTATAAAAACCTGGTCGCGTAAATACGCACCGTCCCTAATCGCAAGGCATACCCGTCTGTAAAAGGTACGAGAGTTCAGCTCATAGCCGTCATATAAAACTAGTTGTGACTATAGTTGCTTCGCGTCGTGCGCCATTAAGCAAATGATCGCGCTAGTGAATTGACAATTGACATCTGACAACAATGCCGAATTGCAGTATATTTTCATGCAAAAAACAATCAAAACCGAAAATCTCCAAAAAAAAAACAACGTGGCTTTTCATATGTCAATACTTTTAACATAATATTGTCTTTAAAACTCGTATTTTCTGAATATTTGAAGTGAAAAATAAACGATTTTAAAATAAATATATTTTACTACACAAAATAAATATATAAACGAAAATTTATTTCATATTATATCAACTAAATCAGTTTGTGTTGAATAATAATCATTACATAAAGATGTGTAGTAGATTTTGTCAAATGATTCAGCTCAATCAAGACATGATTCTGAATATATTATAATTTAATATAATCGATAATTAGTCTTTATCAAAATATTATACAAAATAAAGACCAAACAAGTCGAATCATAACTTGCCACTTCATAGCAAATGTATGCAATTTTTGTAAAATTAACTGGTATCACTGCAAACGAAAGTCTGTACTGCAATCTAGTGATGTACGCCACAACTTAAGCTATAGTTTAATTATTTAACCCATTCGCTTTTGTCTGCATTTTTATTTTTAGTTTAAATTTTATAATCAAGTATTACAAAATGTAGTGAATTTTTCTATTATTGGTTTAATAATAAATAAAAAATAGTTTATTGAGTAAATGATCATACATTAATTATAACCGGGGATGAGGTCTCTTTTTAAGTATAAAAACTTGTGTTAGGAGAATCCACTCTTCCGTTGCACTTATATTACTATTTACATGATCTTTACATAATAATTAATTATAAAAATTAAAATTAAAAACTTATAATATTCACGCCAAAGGTATTTATACGCGCGCGCGCGCGTGCGCGTGTGTGTGTGTGTATGTGTGTGTGTGTGATTGAGTGGGTGTGTATTATAAATAAATCACAGTATTTCATATTGCTTAAAAGAGCCTCAGTATCATCGTAGCTGTTATGAAATAGTCATTTGGTTAGAACATATTGTTTCGCGCCTAAGTTGACGTCATGTACCCGGCACTAGCGCCATTTAGTGTCGGGGACGAGAGCGAGGAGGGCTTCCTAAAAAATGTCAATCTTGAGTTTCGACCAACAGCACCTAGTATCAAATTGAAGAACTAAGCTTTCTAGAAGCCCTACACTCGAACTTTCTGCGTCTGGTCGGTTGGCGCGCGTATTTACTTGAATATTCTAGACGTTTCAATGAAAAATGTGTATTTAAAGGCGCTGCAAGACGCGGTCGGGGCAGTATTGAATAAAGCGAGACAAGCGAAGCTTCGGAGCGAAATAAAGTGAATCAGTGTGATTAATTATTAGTGTCTTTTAAGTTATAATTAGTGTAAAGTGAATTAAAGTGTTAATTTTGGTAATTCTATCGGCAATTTTTATTGTCACGAACCTCAGGCTCGTAACAATATTTGCAATTATGGTAGTTAAGGTGATGAATTTTTACGCTTTTATCAATGGCGTTATATAGAGTTTCTGACTATTTTACATATTGCCCCCTACCTAAAACAGTTTTAACAGCAACAGCTGTAGCCACTACGTTTTCCTTCTTTCGGCTACATTACAACAATTATACTTTATACCTTTATGCAGTCTTAGAACTGAATATAAGATGTACGGTTTCCTAACAGTAAGTACATTACTTATGGCATGAAGATCAGTAGGGTAATTTTTAGTAAATTTCTCTGTACCCTTTCAACTTCTAGAAATTTGGTTTTTGTAGCTCCACCCTATACAGGAATACAATATACTAAAATATATTGAGCCAAAACAATAAATATTTGGTGAAGTAACTTATCCGTCTTAGTGTTTTAAATGTCCATGTAAGTAATGTGAGTTCCTTAGTCTATTTATAATAATAATAATAAAACGTTTATTTCAGATTAAAAAATCCATACAAATTTGTTAGTAAATTTCTTAAAAACTATGTTAGTAAATTAAATTAAATCAAATTAAATAACTTACAATTTTAAAAATATTAATTAAGATACTTAAGTGTCCCACCCATATGCATTTGAGTCCAATGCCCTTGAATGGGACAATCAAGCCTATCTTTAACTACCTTCAGGACGCCGTTTGAGCTCCCCCGCAATCTGCGCCAGCTGGACGATATTCGCTTCCGTACGATGCCATGAAAATCGTCAACACCCGCTTCAGCAAACATGCCAGATGCACTGCAGAACACGGGAAGGCCCATCAACATCCTGAAGGCATTATTATATTGGACGCGAAGTGCATTATAGGCCCTTTGCGTATAGCTATACCACAGGCTGCAGGTGTAAAAGATTTGGCAGTAAGCCTTGAAAAGAGTAATTTTGACTTCTCTAGTACACCTAGCAAACCTGCGGGCAACCATATTGCATCGAACTGCCAATGCCCTCCGCTCCCTCTCTATATCACAATTGTCTGTAAGATTCTCTGTAACAATGTGTCCTAAATATTTAAACTGTGACACCCTATTTAATGGCACCCCAAGGAGCTTGACTGGAGGCACAACCTGGGGTTTTTTAGCACCAACTTGAAATACCATTAACTCACTCTTTTTGGTGTTATAGAGGAGACCGTGTTTAGCAGCGTATACTTCACAGACGGCCAACAGCTTACGCAATGCGCTCACCGATGGACTCAGCAACACCATGTCATCAGCATAGCTAATACTATTAACCATTTGTCCGTCAATGGAACAGCCTATCCTGGTGCTACTGAGTGCACCAATGAGCCCGTCAACGTAGAGACTGAACAGCAAAGGCGAGGATAACCCCCCCTGCCTCACCCCGCATTCCAAAATGTATTCGTCAGATAGCGCACCAGACCTTTTGACCTGGTTAACTTGATGGCCATACCAATATTTCAACGTGGTGATTAATACATTTGGAACAGCTATGTCACGTAATTTTGACCAAAGCAGCTCATAGTCAACCAGGTCAAATGCCTTTGAGAGATCCAGAAACGCAGCATACACTGGCGTTTGTCTCTGGGTGTAGTATTTGACGGTATGCTTCAGCGACAGTATAGCACTTTCTGTTGATTAATTCAATGTGTCTATGCCATGACAAATGTTGGCCAACTATGACGATAATGATTTGACATACGAAATGTTCTCACCAACGACAGGGAAATTAAAGAAAAATGGAATGAGGAATATTATGGACAATCTGAAGTGCGAAATTCAAAAAACACAAGTTGCAATTTAAATATAATTTCCTTTATGGGTCTACTGGAAGATATTTCACGATTAAAAGAGAACCTTTGTATAATTACTATAAGACTGCTTCTGTACCTTAATGTGTGTACATAAAATAAATTAAAAAAAAAAAAAAATTACAACAAAAAATATACGAAGTACTCCCGAATCACAGCGGGGGGGTTTTAGCAGCAGAAAGTCCGTCAAATAATACACATTCACATGACATACATGTAACGGAGAATACTAACCCAACACAAGATTTTTTAAGCTATTGCATAGCATCTATCGCGGGCCTTGAGCGTGGGGACCGAATCCAGAAATTTATTCCGCCGTAACGAAAAAACCTCACGCTCCCCACTCCGACGGGCACGGAGGTGTGGCTTGAAGGCCGTGCATTGCCTAACGTCGTTTTTTTTCAATTCTTTTCAATTATTAAAT